GACCCAAGACCGCTGCCCCTACTCCCTATGTAGAGAAGTTTGTCTCATGGATGATTGTCAAACGTAAGGAAAGAAGACCCCCAAGAAAACCCGATGTAAGGCCAACTCATGATGGCAGATCTGCCCCAGTTCATCAACCCCCTACAAATAAATCCACCTTCCACCCCCAGCTTTCCACTCGCTTTGCTCCTCTAAACGACCTGACAGAATATCCTGCAGAAGACCCTCATGCAAATTCACCTCCACCAAGAATAATACCCCAAAGTACCACCTTTCCCAGAAACCGCAGACCAGGCAAGGAGCCTGAAACCAGCCATCAACCAGATCATCAGCCTAGTGAAACCAGATCCCCGCTCAGTCATCCTAGGAGACGAAGAAACGCGATTACTACTCCAAGACGCGCTGCGGCTGAGGATCATCATGTCTTCGTCCGTGGCTCCTCTAGGGGAGGCATCACAAGCTCCACTGTGCATCATAATCCCAGACCACCAGACACTGGCTCTCCACTTTTTGCTGCCTCCCCAATCCTGAATGTCCCCCCTGATGAGGGGGGTGTTTTCTTTGATTGTGACATGCCAAGGGACGCCATGGCCGAAGACAACAATGCCACAACCATTCTTGGCTCTCAGGGAGTTTCCCGCACGCTCTAATAAGCATGCTATTTCTTTCCTTTATTTCTTTATGATAGCAATCTCTTGGAATTGCCAAGGTGCGGCGTCACGCAAGTTCCTCCGCATCCTAAAATAGCTTATCCGTGATCACAACCCCGACATTCTCTGCCTCTTAGAGCCCAAGGTGTCAGGGGACCATGCTAACAAAATTTGTGCTTCCATCGGCTTCGACGAATGGGCTAGGATTGAAGCCTTTGGTTTCTCTGGGGGTATTTGGGTGTTCTGGAAGGACACCATTACGGCTGACATCCTCCACACCCACCCCCAATTCATGTTGCTTAGAGTGTCGGATAAGAGAAACCGTCCCTGGTTCCTCTCGTTTGTCTATGGGAGTCCTGACCACTCTCTCAGAAAAAACCTCTTTACCTCCCTTTCTCCAATCTCTTTAAATTTTCACGGAGATTGGCTCTCTTGGGTGATTATAACTCTGTCCTTAATATTGATGAAGTATCTAATACTGAAACCTTCTCTACATCACGTTCTGCAGGCTTTGGCGATTGGATATTCACTGAAGGCCTCATTGACATGGGATTTTCAGGAGCAAAATTCACATGAGCAGAGGCCTCGACTCATCTTCTTTCAAGGGCGCCCGCCTTGATCGTGCCCTCTACATCTCCGACTGGAGATCTAGATTCCCGGATGCTGAGATCTACCACCTCCCAATGTTAAGATCTAACCATACTCCAATTTTGATGAAAACTACTACTAGTCCCAAGGGTGGCTCTTATAAGAAATTCAGGTTCAACGCCATGTAGACTTCGTATCCGGACTATCTAAACCTGGTAAAAAACAACTGGGACCCCGCACTCGATATTGAGTCCAACAAGAAACAGCTAGCACTAATGTTCGATGCCTGGAACCGTCAAACTTTTGGGAACCTTTTTCAGCGCAAAAGGAGAGTAATTGCTAGACTGGATGGTGTTAATCGCGGCCTAGCTATAAGTGCCAGGACGGATCTTATCAAACTAGGCAGAAAGCTCCGTGAAGAATATGACTTGATCCTACACCAGGAAGAACTACTCTGGTTTCAGAGATCCCGGGAAGATTGGCTGTCATCTGGAGACCGCAACACTAAGTTCTATCACGCTGCCACGTCCGTAAAGAGAACCAGACTATCGATCAATACCCTGAAAGACGATCATGGGAATCCCTTTCCTAACGAGGACTCGGCTTTAGTTCATGTCACCAACTTCTACAAAGATCTATTCACTGCCGACCCTACTAGCCCAGCAAGCATTGACTTCATCTGCAATTTTCCCAGGCTAAGCGAAATGGACTGGCTATACCTCAACCAACCTTTCTGCCAAGAAGAAGTTAAGAAGGCTGTCTATGACATGTCACCTCTCAAAGCTCCCGGTCCTGATGGCTACCATGCGGCCTTTTATCAACACGCTTGGTCCGTCGTTGGCCAAAACTTAGTTGACTTTATTCTTGCTTTCTTCGATGGAGGCGAACTGCCAGAAGGGACAAACGACACTACCATAACGCTTATCCCTAAAGTCGCATGCCCAGAGTCAGTCAAACAGCTCAGACCGATTGGCCTTTGCAATACATCCTACAAGGTTATCACGAAAATGTTAGCTACCAGATTAAGAAAGGTAATGGGTAAATTAGTGAGCCCTTCCCAATCCAGCTTCATCCCGGGAAGACAGACGACAGATAATATAATCATCTATCAGGAAATCCTCAGATCCATGAGCACAAAGCAGGGCAACACCGGATGGTTAATGGTCAAGGTCGACCTAGAAAAGGCTTTTGACAGAATCTCTTGGAACTTTATTAAATCAACGCTATATGAAGCTAGTTTCAACTACTCCTGGATCAGAAGCATCATGCATTGCGTTTCAACCTCTAGACTGTCTGTCTCTTTCAATGGCAAAAGCTCAGACTGGTTCATACCCACCAGAGGGTTGAGACAAGGCGATCCAATCTCCCCCCTATTGTTTGTTCTCTGCGTTGAGAGACTGAGTCATCTTATAAACGACATGTCGAATAAGGGTGCTTGGGTGGGTATCAAGATCTCAAAGGAGGCCCCTAGTCTCACACATTTGCTCTTCGCTGATGACATGATCCTTTACGGTCAAGCATCTATTCACCAGGCCATATGCATCAAGAACTGCTTGAACCTATTCTGTTCCCAATCCGGACAAAAGGTGAATCTTTCAAAATCCTCTTTATACTTCTCCAAGAACACACCAGTGGCGTTGCAGCATGAGATCTCAAATTTGCTAGACATCCCGGTTACTCTTGACCCGGGCAAATACCTTGGTGTTCCATCTCGGCACAGTGGTCTCAACAAGGAAACTTACAGTGACCTCATAGGTAAGGTTAAGAGCAAACTAGCTGGCTGGAAAATGAAAACTCTCTCCCTCGCGGGCAGAAAAGTCCTCATCCAATCAGCTTTAACTGCTATTCCCCAGTACACTATGCAATCCACACTTCTCCCACTTGGGGTGATCAATGAGCTGGAAAAGCTGTTTAGAGCCTTCCTGTGGGGTGGCTCAGATAATACTAGGAAATGCAACCTTGTGTCCTGGGACTTGGTTACGCAAAATAAAAACCATGGTGGCCTGGGAATTCGCAGACTCAAGGAAACAAATACCGCTCACCTCGCTAAACTTGGCTGGAGGATCTTAACAGGAGAAGACAGTCTTTGGGCCAATATCCTAAGGGTGAAATACAACATCCACCCCTCTGATCCTAAACTATGGAACCCCAAGCCCAACATGTCAAACGTATGGAAGGGAATCATCAAGGCAATCCCAACTATAATCAGAGGCACTAAGATTCTAATCAGAAACGGAAGGAACACCAAGTTCTGGATGGATGCATGGTTAGGCCACCAGCCCCTATATGACATTGCTCCTCCCCGCTTACCACTACCGGATCTTTACGCCCCTGTTGCGGACTATTGGCTACCAGGCATTAGTTGGGATTGGAATAAGATTGGTAACACTTTGCCATCCAGCATCATAAAGCGACTTTCTGCTATCATTTTGTGTGAAGACGATCTAGAGAGTGATACTATCGGCTGGGGAGATGATGGCGCCTCCAACTTCTCAACCAAAATTGCCTATGATCTATGCACTGACCATGTCGCTCCCTCTACCACCCAAATATGGAGCAACATCTGGAAACTCAAGATTCCTAGTAAAATACACATCTTTCTCTGGTTGGCCAGGCACGATCGCATTATGTCAAACGTCAACAGGAAGAAGCGTAGCTTCACGAACTGTTCTGTCTGCCCAGCCTGCGGGGATAACGAGGAAACAACCGAGCACATCCTTCGTTTCTGTCCTGAAGCCAGACTGGTATGGCGCTCTGTCCTACCTAACCGAAATGACGATCAGACGAAGCCTTTTGAGGAATGGTTTGATGCAGGCATTCGAGGTACACTACCTGGCAATCAACTACATATCTCCCGTATACTGTTTGCCACCACGGCTTGGAATCTATGGTTGTGGAGGAACGATAGAAATTTCAACAATTCATCCATCAGCCTAAGACAGAAGAATTTCCTTATACATTCTCAAGTTGCAAAAGTTGGCAGAGCCTTCGGAAAAGACAAGGGCATCCACACCAGCCCGGCCTCGCATTCATGGAAACTCCTCCGTTGGACTAAACCGCCAATAGGCTGGACCAAAATCAACGTGGACGGCTGTTGCGATACTACTTCGTCTAAAGCCTCATGTGGCGGAGTAGCTAGAGATGATCAAGGCAAATGGATTAAGGGCTTTTCTCACTCCATTGGTTTATGTTCACCCGAGGTGGCTGAAGCTTGGGCTTTACTCAAGGGTATCCAACTCGCTAAATTCATTGGAAGTTCACACACCTGCTTTGAGAGTGACTCAAAACGCATTGTGGAAGCTGTCAATTACAACTCCGAGGTTAGCGCCATTACAGACAACATCCTCCGCGCATGCAAAAAGGAGCTAGAATCCATGGGTTCCTGGCACCTGGCCCTCATCTCCAGAGATCAAAACCACTTGGCCGACAGTTTATCCAAGCTTCAGAATGGGCAGCATCGCACGTCAATTTTTGACTCCCCGCCCGATGACCTTATTAGTAGATTAGAAGATGACCAATGGCATCCCCATTTGGCGCCTTGCTTCCGCTTAAACCTTTGTTATTGGGTTACCCCCTTCCTCTATGATCTAAAAAAAAAATTTAAAATAACTTATTAGTAGTTTAAAATAACTATAAAGTTCATAAATAAGCTCAGAGAAATAGAAAAATTTTAGAGGTAAAAGTTAAGATGAAAATAATATTTTTTTTCTTCTCGAAAATATTATACTCCGTAATAAAATAACTTATTTAGGATAGATTTATTTTTTAGAATGTTATTCCATCTAAAACTCTTGAAATCAAGGAATCAGAATATCTCAAAACTATAAGCAAATCTTGATTTTGGAGGTTTGATTACTTTGTTTTTGAGTGATAAGGGGATGGAAAAAGTGATGAACATATTGAATCCGAAACCCAACCCTCAACAACTCTTGAGGGAATGGCAGCGTCGCCTTCGCCAAGAGTGTCGCAACATCGAGCGCCAAATCCGAGGTAATTATTTTCTGGCATGGATCTTGTTGTGAAGAGTGTCGCCAGAGCTTCTGCAGTCTGATGATTGGGGTTCTTGATCAGATATACAGAGAGAAGAAAAGAATGTACAGAAAGCCATTAAAGAAGCTGCGAAGAGGAATGATATGGGGTCTGCTAAGGTACTTTGCTTTTGCTGCTATTCTTACTGTTGAACCCTTTGCTTATTGTTATGATTACTCATTACTGTAGGTAGAGTCTTGGTCGAATGCCAATGATCCCAAGTTTAAAGAAAAAAAAAAAAACTAAATAATTTTTATGTAATTCAACAATTGCTTGAATTTGAGTTTGACATTTTAGAATTTGCATTTTGTGTTCTTGACTTCTGGTTCCCAATTTGATTTCTTGTGTTTTTACTCTTAATTGTTTACACTATCATTTCAGGCACTTGCTAAAGAAGTTGTGAGATCTAGAAAAACTGTGAACAGGCTGTATGAGAATAAGGCACAGCTTAATTCAATATCAATGCACTTGGGAGAAAGTGTTGGTATGACCTTAGTTACAAAATCTATGTTGGTCATTAAGTTTCCTTGTAATTTTACTGTAATGGAGAACTTTGTGCTTATATGATTGCTATTGAAGTGTACCATGAATTTTAGATTAATTGAGTTGGTTGAAGTAGTGTTATAAGAAAGTTAGTGGTATCCTCTTTTTCAAATTGGGTTTATATATATGCATTTCTATCGTCTTTGATCGCGATTAATCATGTAGCCATTGCTCGCACGGTGGGACATTTGTCCAAGAGTGCTGAAGTTATGAAGCATGTGAATAATCTTATGAAGGCTCCACAAATGGCTATTACAATGCAAGAGTTCAGTAAAGAAATGACCAAGGTACTCTGTTAGTATAACAATGGTGATTATTTCATTGTTAGTGTTTCTTGGGGGGAATCAGTTTTTGGCATTGTGAGACAGTTTGAATTAATTTCTTGAGCTTCTTTCATACTTTATTTAGCATATCGAGGCCAAGTGAGCATTGGTTTCTTGTCGGTTTGACTTTCCTCTCTACATTGATAGTTAAAAGTGATATATAGCCCGGGCTTCTCTTCTGGGAAATATGCATTGTGGGTAGTTTAGCTGTTTAGGTAAGAAACAAGTCCTACCAATTACATCTCTTTTGCCCCTACCCACAAAAAAAAAATAAATAAATAAATAATTGTGATGAGCAATCATGATAGTTTCTAGTTACAATACGTATTATGTAAGGCTCTGATATTAGTTTGACTAAATTTCTGGACCGAAACTTTGAAATTATTGCAGGCTGGTGTGATTGAGGAGATGGTGAACGATGCTGTGGACAACGCGCTGGATTCTGAAGACATTGAAGAGGAAACTGAAGAAGAAATAGACAAGGTGTTGACGGCGATTGCTGGTGAGACTGCTGCAGAGCTACCCGAGGCTGTCAGAAAGGAAAAATTAAAGCAACCAGCCCAATCAGTAGACGATGCTGAGGTACATTCTCGTCTCAAATGTTCTCCGATCTTCATTGTAAAGAACTAAACAAATGAAATTACTCGTCTGTTACTCTAACAGGGTGCTGATGACGAAGAAGAGCTAGAAGAACTAAGAGCACGCCTTGACAAAGTCCGTTCTTAGTTCACCCTAAACCCATTATCCTTTCCCCAAGTCTTTCACAATGTAATCATATCTGTAACATGAAGCACGGACTCACCCTTTGTCTGTCTGGTACGCTGCTGCTATATCCCTCCCATTCATGAAATAGTTTCTGTATCATAGAGATCGGCCCGTTTGAACTCATGAGAATCAAAATTTGATCTATCATTGGCTATCTTATCAGAAAAGCTACAGTGTTGGTCTGTGTATATTCTCGCAACAATTCTTCGTTGCATACATACTTTATGTTCATGACAATAATAGATTTGCTTGAAACGAGACGAGTATTATCATGATGGGAGCTACTTGATATACGCCTATACTTTCCTCTCATCATCTTAATTCTCTTTTCCAGATATTTTTCGTATGCCTTTGTGACATGACTCATGAGGCCATGATTGAAGGGAATGGTAGTTTGGGTGTTTGCTTTTCCAGAAATTCTTCTTCTACACACCACAATTCTGTTAAAGCTTTTCCAAAAAATCTAACTTTATAGTGCTACAGATAATGTGTGTTAGTGTATTTTGATCCACAAGGTGAGGCGGAAAGCTGGCCAAGTTGCCCACAATGACATCAAATTTAGATAATCTTGCACTCAACTCAAGTCTTATGACTTATCATGTGTACTGTGGGGACAACATACCCATTGCACTTGGTACAAACTCTAAAAAAAAAAAAAAAAAAAAATCATTATACTTTTAGTTGTACTCGATGTAAGAGGCAATAATACGGATTGGTCAACACATTAGAATTTTTGTAAAATTGTTACAAAGTAATTAAAGTATAAATGGTTTTTAAGGAAAGATTGCAATGCTATAGGCACCAACGCTTGTCAAAAAAAAAAAAAAAAAAAGTGAAATTTTCTATGCCCCGGCCCGACAAGATAGCAAATGGGCAAATTACAGTGACACATGGAGTTTAATACATTGGATGTAACTCCTATACTTGCCTGCATCATGTGTCTTTGTTACAATTTACCACCCAAAAATTAATTGAGTTGTCCGTGCGGGCATATAGGCACCAACACTGATTGTGCTTAATACTATTATGTATACCATATATGATTGTATTGGATATTATTGATAATGACTTTTAACTGTACCTCATAAGATCAATACAGATATCAATTGACATTTTAGAATTTTTTGTGAGGTAGAAGATTAAGTTGTGATATAAGTAATTAATGTGGTGTCATACTGTCTTCACGACAAATTATTGTGTGGACCATGGTCGACACAATGTTATGTGGACCATAACAAAAAGTACATTTTTAATATATTAAATATACATTATTTTTGTATTAAATGTACATTATTTTACAGTAGATAAAATTTGGTCCACACAACTTGTGTGGACCATGGTCCATACAATAATGATTGCTGTCTTCACCCTTAAAGGCAAAATACTTCGTTCCCAAGATCCTACACCCCAACAAGACAGAATTATAGAGTGGACTCTGCGACCTCTTAAGTGGGAGTGATAGTGCATTCCATAATTACCTAATTGAAGTATAAAATGTGATGATAGTATAAAATGTGAAATCATCAAAAGTAATGAAATTAGCATAAGAAAAACAGCAGAATTTGAGGACCAAACTATCCCAAAAGATCACATTATAATAGCATATATATGTGCCATTTCATTTCATTTGCTTTAAGGACCACACATGATTGCTTATACGTTTTCCTACACCCATATATAAATATATTATCTCTCTTAGAAGCAACCTTAGCTATTTTGTACGTCTTCCTAAAAGGAATGCCTTAATGCACATCTTTTGTCTGCTGAGGGCTTTATCTAATTAATTAGTAAAGTCACAGAATTTCATGATAACCAGATACCCAATCTTTATCAGGAATATTTTTCTTATAAAAAGTGTTGTTATTTGTAATTTATTTGAATAATTTGTTGTAATAACAGAAAAAATGACATGTTTAGTAGAGGTGGCCAAGTCCCGAACTTAAGCCGGTCTCGTGTCGAGCCTGGCCTAAGTTAGCACTGATCAGGACTGGCTCGGGGTAGGCCCGGCACAGGACCGGCCCATGTTATCTTCGCCGGTCTTAATCAATGCTAACCTAGGCCTAGACTTGACCCGGGCTGGCACGAGACCAGCCCAGGTTCGGAATTTGGCCACCTTTACCAAACATGCCATTTTTTTACTATTACAACCTAACAATTATTTAATAAATAAATTACAAATGACAACACTTATTATCAATTGATGTATCTTAAGAACCATCACTTTGAATATGAACCAGTGTCAGATTTTGGACTGTGCAAGCTGGGCTACAGCACAGGGTTCCAAATTTTAGAGATTCCAAGATTTTTTTTTTTTTTTTTGATAAAGATAGTCTAATATTTAATTAGTTTAGAAATAAAAATTAAAAGCTTTCAATTAAACTTAAAAGGCTCCATGGAGAAACGGTAGAAACATGTGTTTATTGTGGTTCAACTTGGAGGTTAGAGGTTTGAAACTTGTATGCTGCTCTAGCTTTGGACATCTCCCACTTCATCATTATTATTATTGTTACAATTGTAATTTATTTCATAATATGTTTTGTTTTTTCTTTGTGGACAGCAACATTTTACCACCTTATTATTATTATTACTAAAAAAAATTATGGTATTAATTTTAAAGATTATGATTTCGATAGGTCCTCATTTATTTAACAGAACGAGGCTACAAAAATCTAAAAACTGACACTGATATTAACAGTATAATTTTGATTGGCTTTAAATTATCCCCTAGTCAATAGTAAGTAGGAATTATGCATGCACCAGCTACGTCCATCTCATGTAAACCACTTTATATATAAAATATGATAAAGTACTATTTCATACTGCAATTTTTTCCAAAGAGAACATAATTTAGTGCTCCACAGAGAAGAATAATAATAATATAATGTATGCCCACAAACAAATTAAAGGGAAAGCAATTGAAAAGGAATGGCCATGTTGATGTGTAATCATAGTCTAAAAGTCAAGTCTACTCCATAATTAAAAGCAATGATCCATTATTCATTAATGAATCACTATTCCCATTTCTCCCTATGTCATGTCAAAAGTTTGTAATTTAGTGGATTGAATTTATAATGTTAAAAAAAAAAAAAAAAACTATAATACTGAAAGTGTATCATACTTACTATTATAAATAAAAAATTTTTGTAAATAAAATAACTTTTAGTTATAAAATGCTATTACCCTGCCCCTTTCTGTCCGTAAAATAAGAAATTATATGAAAAGTGTAGGTTTAATTCCTGATTGGCATGAACTTAATCAGTCACAAAAGTTTTTATTTTTATTTAAAACATATATTAGGGATAAAAAAGTATAATTTTTACTAGTAGTCATTTTGGTCTTCAAAAATGAGAATAGCCATTTTTGTACGTGACTAGTTAAAGGATATATTTGCAATTCATAACAATTATATTAATTAACGATTGAATTTACAATTATCATATAACATAGGACTAAAAGTACGTGTAAATTTTTGTTGTAATTTTTTTTATTCTTTTTCATAATTTAAAGTTAGACATCCAATTCAAACTTCTTGTTGCGGTTCCCATACAAGGCATCATCAATGTTAAGGAATTCAACCAGTAGTTGGCTTGAGTGACGCGATAGAATTAATCTTAATTAACAAATAAATTGTCTTTATTTCATTTCTTAGGTACTCCTCTCAAACTTTTTCTGGTTCTGTAATAATAACTTATTAATTGACTTAACTCCATTACAAAAGTTATTTGTGAATTCACAATTTTGAATATGAATTAATCACAATTTTTTTTAGTGGATGGTCTGGATCTGATCTTTCTCTATCCATTTAATGGTCCAGATCCACCCGAATTCGCTCCGAGAGGTCATAAAAGTGACTAGGGGAGAATCGTCACTTATGGGAATCGAACTCAGATTATCCCGGAGTTATAATCATAATATAAAAGGGAAAAAGATGAACAATTATATAGAAAAAAGGTTCCCTTTATTCTTACTTTTCCCCCCAAGAAAATCAGCAGCACACAACAACACACACAGCCGTTAAATTCCTCTCACTATGTTCCCACCCACATTCACATTTCTTACTCCACCCCTCACTCCCTTTATAAATCTCAACCATAACTTGCACTTCAACACAAAGAGAAATGGCACCAAATCTCTCTCTAACTCCTTCTTCTTCTTCTTGCTTTCTTCTTCTGCTACTTCTCTTTTGTGTGGCGATCTTTTCGTCTGCAGAAAAGGATGGTTTCTTTGCGTCCTCGAATCCGCAGTTCCCTATTGGCCAAGCCGAGAAGTTGATCAGGGGACTCAACCTGATCCCCGGCCGCCACCATCTCGCCGCCGCCAAGCATCCTCCGGGGGCCGCCGCCGACCAGCCCAGACTCGCCGAGAGGCGTTTCAAGTTCGACTACCTGGGAAACCCTGGGGCTTCCGTGGAAGACCTGGGACATCATGCCGGTTACTATAGGCTCCCACATACTAAAGATGCAAGGTATATATGTCTATATGTGAAACATGATCACATGAATCAATTATATATATATATATATATCATGTTTTTGTTTGTTGTTTAATTTCTTCACCACAAAGACGAAATTCCTTTGCTTTAGGGTCCTGGTAACTTTCAACCCAACAAGATAAATTAAGGTAACTCAGCAGCCTATTAGGCGGGAGCCTAGGGTGTAACTCTGACACGTATTATGGCTGTTAAGACTGGATTTTGTCTCTTTGCTTATTGTCTATTACTCAAGAATTAACTGAATTGCCCGTGCAAACTTGTTTAATTTGTTGTTTCTTATTATAGTGTTTAATTGGGTTTTGGCAGGATGTTCTACTTCTTCTTTGAATCAAGAAGCAGCAAGAAAGACCCGGTGGTTATATGGCTAACCGGAGGACCAGGATGCAGTAGTGAATTGGCTTTGTTCTATGAGAATGGACCTTTTCACATTGCAAACAACATGTCTCTCATATGGAATGATTATGGTTGGGACAAGGTAACCTCAATCACCCTTCCCTTACCCTCTGTGACCCAAATTAATCTTTCATGCTCCTTTAACTATTAAATTTTAACACATAATTCTTTTAAGAGGACCACGGTTGGTTAAATTTTGAGAGTTGAATGGGTGATTAACTTGGACCACGAATGATTAAGTTTAAAAATCGAAGGACCACGGGTGATTAATTTAAAAATTTAGGACTAAACGTGGCAAAACCACTATACTCGAAGGATCTCATGTGACATTATTATTATTATTATTATTATTATTATTATTATTATTATTATTAAAAAATAGTCTTTGAAATCAACATTATTACAAAATCCAACACATCCACTAATTTAGTAAATAAATCTTATATATATATATATATATATATATATATATATATATATATATATATATATATATATAATCAATAACAACAACTAGGTTCATGTAGCATGACAATTATTCGGTTTGAATCTTAATTTAAGTTATTGTCCATAATTCAAGCGGAACCAAAACTTCGGGCCCATGACAATTATTTATCTAAATTATTATTGACTGTTTTGTTCTAAAAATTTGAATTTGATAATGAGTGCTAGTCGAATAAAATTAATAAATCTCAACTTTATAGATTCTTTAAAGATAAAAATCCATAGGCCATCGAGTGTATCAGTTTTGGATCACAACTCATCACTAGACAGTTTCTCAATTCACCTAATAATATGAATTGATGGAATGATTGCCCCATTGTGGCATTCTAGCTGGCTGTCACATACAAAATTCTATAGTGGTTCAACCCCTATTGACTTAAAACACTTTGGTCATAATTTTTAATGTTCTTACTTTTTTTTAGGAGCTTAATGTTATTACTTAATTTTTTTTTTTAGTAATTTTAAGTAATTTTTTGTTCGACAGATTTCTAACCTTATATATGTGGATCAACCAACCGGGACGGGTTTCAGCTATAGTTCAGATGAAGATGATTTACGTCACGATGAAAATGGTGTCAGCAATGATCTCTACGACTTCTTACAGGTCTGTCTATGGGCTTGGGGGGGGGGGGTGTTAATGATTTCACTAATTATGAATAATTTCACTTTTGGTCCCACGACTTTTGAGTTCTTATCACTTTTGGTGCACAACTTTAAATTTTTTCAATTTTGGTGCATAACTTTGTTATTTTTATCAGTTTTGGTCCTTCCACCCAAATTGACGGTAAAATATTTTTGAATTTTATATTTTAGGGGCAAAATCGCCATTCCATGGAAAGATCTTCAATATTTAAACAAAAGAAAAATCATATTAAGAGGAAAAGAAGAGTTTGCCAATGGTCGAAATTATAAATCCCATAGATCTGTCTGGTTTCTGCCCGTCTTCACCATTATTCTCATCGATCAAACACCTATAGATATGATTTTACAGTGATTTTGTTTAGATATTGAAGATGTTTCCTTGGGATGACAATTTTACCCCTAAAAATATAAAATCCAGCAACATTTCGCTATCAATTTAGCTAAAAGGACCAAAACTAATAAAAATAACAAAGTTAGGCACCAAAATTAAAAAATTTTAAAATTGTGCACCAAAAGTGATAGAACATCAAAAGTCGTGGGACCAAAAGTGAAATTAATTCACTAATTATTAAATGGTCTTATATATGGTCATGCTTTTCTCTCTATATTATTGTTTATATTTAATCTAATTAATACTAAAACGACATCTCAACAGCCAAATCATTGATCAATTGCCATCACAAACCTATTATAGACAAAAGGTACTCTTAGGGGTTCGAGTTTCACCAATTAGGAATAAATTTAATTTGATATATAGAGTATAATAGTAACTTCATTTAATTCTAAAGTATAATATATGGTATGAGTTGTTGTCACTTTTAGTTTTATGAGTATAGTGGCATTTCTACTATTAGTATACAACTATAAAAATTGTCACTATAGGTATACAATTTTTAATTTTTATTCACTTTTGGTACTTTTGGTGATAAATCCTATTGAATTTCATCCCATGACTTGTGAGTGACAAAATGTTATGGACAAAAATTAGACCTTCTACAAAAAATGTCTGTGTAAATGGACATTTTTGAACATATACTTTGATCGCTCACAAGTCATGTAACAATCATAAAGACTGAAAGTGAGAAAAAGAAAAAAAAAAATTATCCAACAACAATTTATATATGGGGTGTTTGGTAAATAGTTATTAGTTGTTATCTGATTGGGTTAGTGGGTTTGACTAGTTGATAACATTAGCTGATTGTAGAAAGATACTTGGTAAATTAGTTGATAGCTTATTACATGCAAAATGACTTTGTCAAAAAGCTGTTTTGAATTTTAGTGTTTTGGAGTAATAAGTTGTTACAAAAAGCTAATTAATCAAACACTTATATTGAGTGTTTAACCAAATCAAACGTCATTTAATAGTGGTCAAATAAGTTAAAATTGACTGATAAGCTAACTATATTACCATAATCGTGCACATACCAATAGTGAATACAAGTTAAAAGAATTTTCCCTCTATGTTGTTTGAGAAATACTAATTGAATTAGCGAAAACTTAATAATGAGTCTGTGTCAAAATAGCATTTAGTACAATTGGTAGTTGAGGTATTTGGTTTAAACATTTATAATTGTATTGTAGTAATCACAGTTTGGGGAAAAAAATAAAATAAAAAGGATTTGTACTAAAATACAGTGAATGACAGGCTTTCTTCAAGGAGCACCCTGAATATGTCCACAATGATTTCTACATAACAGGAGAATCATATGCTGGGCATTACATTCCTGCATTTGCTTCTAGGGTTAACCAAGGAAACAAGAACAAGGAAGGAATTCATATAAACCTCAAGGTAAAACCATTAATCCAGCTTTAATTTAATGGAGTATATATTAGTTACTATATATTCTGTGGATAGTGGATACACCACAGTGATTTGAGTGATGTTCAATCAGGGATTCGCCATTGGCAATGGACTTACAAATCCAGAAATCCAGTATGAAGCTTACACTGACTATGCTTTGGACAATAATTTGATCAGTAAATCTGATCATAACAGCATAAACAAGTCTGTTCCTAAATGTAAACAAGCAATCAAGCTTTGCGGTAAACTCTTCATACCTTGCTCTCATCACAACCTCCCTCGATCACGTTCTGTAGTTCAATGTCTGCTTTTCCATTTTCACCAGGAACCGAGGGTGGAAATACTTGCTTGGCGGCTTACTACACTTGCACAAACATCTTCAACATGATACTGCAGATTGCAGGCAATATAAATGTAAGAAATCCTTGTTATTCTCCCCGTCCCCTTTATTTTGGTTCAAGCAAAACAATTTTTTCAACCCTAATGAATTAGTATTTAGTAAGAACTTGCCTTGTATGATCTGCAGTACTATGATATCCGTAAGAGCTGTGAAGGGGACCTCTGCTACGACTTCTCGAACATGGAAGCTTTACTCAACAAGAACACAGTTAGAAGTGCTCTGGGTGTTGGGGACATCGATTTTGTTTCATGCAGTTCTGCTGTCTACCAGGCAATGATTTTGGACTGGATGAGGAATCTTGAAGTTGGTATTCCTCCACTGCTTGAGGATGGAATCAATCTGCTTATATACGCTGGGGAATATGATCTTATCTGCAACTGGCTCGGTAAGCTTTCACCGATTATCAATACATAACAGTCATGAAGATAGTATTACTATAGAAGGCTATGTTTAACTGAAAGCTACAAACCAATTACCAAATGATAATCAAACTGCATCTGATATGAATAGGTAACTCAAAATGGGTTCATGCCATGGAATGGTCTGGTCAGAAAGACTTTCGTGCAGCACCAAATGTTCCGTTTACAGTAGATGGCGAGGAGAAAGGGATACAAAAGAACCATGGACCACTCACTTTTCTTAAGGTCCATGATGCAGGCCACATGGTTCCAATGGATCAACCCAAGGCATCACTGGAAATGCTTCAGAGGTGGATGCAAGGCAAACTTGCATCAGCAGTGAAAGGGCATCTTGCTCCCATGTGACTACCGTAACTATAAGAGCCATAACACAAAAAAAATTTCTGATCTGTTTCACACAGCTTCCTCAAATTGATGTCCTGATAACAGTTTAATCAATTCATGTGCTTATGTAGATATAAATTGCACCTATGGGCTTCTATTGATGTCCTGCAATTTGTCACTGAAATGGTTCATTTAAAAGCATTCAGATGTTACAAAAGCTTTGATCAAATTGGAATACATTCCTTCACGGATTCTCACATATATAAGTCAATATTACAGCTCTATAGCTGCTTTGTTGCGCTTTTTTGCTTTAAAAAAATCGGTCCTTTACATTACGCATAGCAAAACATAGAAACCATCCATTATTCCTCAGATAGTAACAAAATGTTAGCATATTTCTACAAGAATTTTATGTTTGAAACACAACATTGTTTGCCAGGCATGACTAAGAACATTATGGCATTCTTCATAACCATGAAAATAGCAAAAATGAACTGTAATCTTCCAGGAAAGGAACCTGGACCATTCACTCCCTGTGGTAACAAATTATTTTGTGTAGTATTACAAGCAAACCATTAGTACTATGATATGTCAAGCTCAAATAGAGAAAAGAAACCCATAAAAGTCAGCAAAAGTTCACAATGTCACATAGAAAGCTACAACCAATTTAGGTTAACCTATATTGGAAAAAGTCTTACCAAACAAACTTTTTCTTCATATCCATGTTGTATGTACTATTATAATCAATTTGCAGAGATTTATTTGAAAGTATTTTCCAAAATTTCATTTCAAGAAACTTGTATACAAACATTGGATTTACACAACATGTAAGGAAGTTTATGGAAATAAAAGAGCCAAGCCGTGAAGACACTAGTTATGCAGCACCATGAAGAAGATAAATAATTATAAGCCACCTCTTATCTGATACAGCTCCCTCAATGTTTTAATTATCGGCTGAAAACCAGACCTCAAGGGAACTACTGAAACCACTCTAAGATGACGTGCATTCCCATTTTTGGGCTGTGATAAAGTCACCCTCAGCATCTCTCCCTCCAGAGCTTTACCTGCACATCCGGCTGCATGAAACATTCCAAATAAATATAATTTAGAACCACCCTATTTATTTAATTTATGGCCCAACATGACATGCACTTCCTGTTACTTGACATTATTATGTTCTTAATTGTCGCATTATTTTGTAGAGCACCACTAACATTTTTTTTTTTATTAAAAAAACATTTGAAATCTTCAATTTTTATCAAAGTCCCTTTTTTGATTTTATATTAATGTATTCCTACCCACAGAAAATTTTAATAAAATGTCTATTTTCTGCAAAACTCATTTACTTTTGATTGAACAAAGCAGTATGCTGTTGTTTCCATGCAAGAAGTTTAGAGCTAGGAGTCAAAATTTGGAAAACGAAGTGACTTTTCCGAACTCCTGTTCTCTAACACTTGCAAACCAACTCAGAGAAAAAGAATTAGGACAATTCAGAGCATTAAATCTTATGTTTCTGCAAGTAATATATAACTAATTCTGATGAAAAAGACTGCAATAATAGAAGTCCAGAGCTATAGCCAACATTTAATCTGGAATACTTTTGAAACATGAATTCCAAGTTCAATTTTTACTTAAAGAGAACCACAATGCCCCACCATTCAATTCAGATTTCTTTCTTTAATTGAACAAATGTCAAATCCTACTTGGAAGTTTTGATATACCCTCCAAATAAAAGTTGATACACCAAGGAGTGCAAATTACCGGCAAAAGGACGAGTCTTGGCAAATTCAAAGAACTCATCAGCAGAGCAGCCAAACAAAACCCTAGCCGCTCTGTCAAACAATATCACCACAAATACCTTTGTATCCGTAGCTATAGACACCTGCGAAGCTCATGTACCAATTCACAAAAAGCAAAATTTAACACGGTAAATTTCACATCTTCCAGCATTTTCACAATAATCAAATAATCCCACAGCCAAATAGCAAGAATCAGCGAAGAAAAAAAAAGGGTTATCTGATAATGATAGAAAGAAACATACATAAATTAGGGGAGTAAATGGTTAGAAGTTTGTGTGACTTACAAGGACGCGGAAGAGGAGCTTGGAAGCCGAGGATGGTGGGTTGAGGGCATTGGTAGAATGGCAGTATGTACAAAGGGGTGAGGGAGTGTTGGGGTTAGGGTCAGGGAGGGGCCTTTCACATCCCGCGCAGACTCTATAGTAGATGTTAGTATGATCAACGGCGACAATGGTGCAATTTGTGGTGGTCGGCGTCCGGTTGGCTTCTGCAATGGGCCTTTTTCTTCCCTCGCCATTGCTGGAGCTTCCGCTATTCATCTGTGCACTGTGCACTGTGCACTGTGCACTGTGGAGTGTGTTACGGCCTTACGGGGAACAACAATTTTATGCGACGGAATATGTTAAAGGTGCGACGTCCGATTCTTCATCACTGTTTTTTTAGTGATTGGTACTTGTGAAAAAACAATGAAGGGAATGATTGGTTCATGGAAAATATTTTTTTTAAAATGGAGGAAAATGTTATTTTTTTGGTGTTTCGTTTATGAAATTTATTTTTTATTGGAAAATAATTTGAATCCTTTAAATTTGAGGAAAACAAAATCAAGATTTTGTTTTTCATGAAAGATGGGAATAAAAAATGATATAGATTGTCAATTTTATCCTTATTTTTCTTTTTAATTATATTATTACTCTTATTAATTTGTAGGGACATATAAGTCTTTATACTCGTTATTCTTTACAATTCCAAATCTAACTAAACAATAGAATTAGTTTCCCAGTAATTCTTTTTCCACCAACCAAATAATGAAATTCATCTTCCTAGTAATTATTTTTTCATAGAATTTCAATTCCACTTCCCTTAAAATATTTTCCGCGAACCAAATGAGGGTGTGTTTCGTTCATGTGTTTACACATCAAGAATGATAATTAAAACTATACTCCGTAATTAGTATTTGGTTGATAACTTTTTAAAATATAATTATGAGATTTGATTCTCTTTAGTTAAAAACCTTATTTCCTAATTAAAAATGATTAACATTCTATCTTATTCGTAATTTGATTTTTAAGTTTAGATTATTATTTTTAAATTTTTGTTTTGATTTTTTTTTGTTCATATTGATATTTTGGATGTCATTATATTATGATCAATTGCCTTAACTTTTTATTTTTGTATTTTTAAAATCTTTATTCCTATTATAGGGTCATACATAACCAACACTACAAGAAAAATCACATAACGCGATGGAAACATTGCGACGGACCGTAATCCGTTGTCGATTTGCAACGATTTTTGTGACAAAACGTGTTCCGTCGCAATTTTGCGACGGAAATGGTGACGAAATTCAATTCCGTAGCAATTTTTGGCGCAAAGTGAGAAAAAACGCGAGAAACTTTGGCGCCCATATTGTGGTGACGGATTTTGCGATGGAATTAAGTTCTGTCACCACAATGGCGACAGAAATGATAACGATCGATATTTCCGTCGCGATGTTGCGACAAAATCGGCGACGAGAATGGATTCCGTTGCGATATTTAGTGCAATGTGGAAAATACTCCCACATAATCTTTCTGTCAATGAATTGACGACGGAGAGTGACGACGGAAATTGCGACATTTATTTTTTTCGTCATGAAAGTATTTACTTTTTAAAGTAAATTTTATTTTCGCTACAGAATGAGACAACGGATTCAATCCCGTCGCAAAATATCGATATATTGGCGACAGAAAATGCGACGCCCTACATGTCCATCGCGATATGGCGATGAAATTGGCAACGAAAATTAATTCTGTTGTGATGTTTGGCCCAAAGAGAGATTTAGCGTGTGAGATTGGCAACGGACTTGCGAAGATCATTCATTCCATCGCGAAAATATTTATTTTTTTAAGAAATGTTTATTTTCGCTACAGAATGGGACGACAGAATCAATTCCTCGCAATATGGACACATTGGCGACAAAAAATGTGACGCCTTACATGCCCGTCGCGCTATGGTGATGAAATCCGCAGCGAAAAATTAATTATGGAGGTTGGTGATGGAATTTGCGACGATCGTTCTTTCCGTCTCATAAATATTTAGCCCTAGGATTTTTGTCCCTATTACTAAGAACTAAAGCCCGACAAGTCCATATCGCCTCCAATGTAGCTCAAACTCATAACCTCTCACTTAAGAAAGTCACTTCATGCCACTTCACTACAAAGTCTTTGATTTATATTAAGAAGATTTAATTTATTTTAAAAAAAAATATAAGAAATTGTAGGACATCATTTCTTTACTACTACTTTTACCACAAGTTTAAAATACTCATTTTGATTATATCGAAAATAATCATTTTTATTTTATATTAATTATTTAATATTTTAAAATTGTACTAAAAATTTCCCTATTTTAACTTTTGTGTTGGATATTAATTTAATCGCAGTTTACACATTTTAACTAGTGTGTGCGTGTGTGTCTATATATATATATATATATATATATATATATATATATATATATATATATATATATATATATATGGCCAAGTTTTAATGCGGCAAGCCTTATCATGCCGTCGGTACGGCTGCACCATTAGGTATGCAAACACGCACCAATAGTGTTAAAAAAATGCACAACAAAAAAATGCACCATTAGGTACGCAACACCACAAAACGCACCATTACGTATGCATAAATGCACCACACAGTATTCAGAAACACACAATTAGGTGTAGGGAGGTATGATGCTATTTTTGGGTGTCTGATGCATTTTATGGTGTATTGGTGCATTTAATTGTTGTGCGATTTCTAACACTATTGGTGCGTGTTTACATACCTAATGATGTGGCCGCACGTTAGGGCATGACCGCATTTGAGCTTACATCAATATATATATAAACAATTCACTTAACCGATTTGTTAAATATGTTAATTAATACTTTATAACCAAATCATTAATAACTAAATTTTTTAAAAATCTTTGACCATTAATCAAACTAAAATATTTTGTTTAAAAATTTATTAAATGGATTCTTCGATTCGAGCGTTTAACAATTTTCACTGAATTGTACACACTCCTAAAGTTAATAATTAAAATTTGTGTAAATATTTAAATAAAAGAAGATTTTGATCATACACAAATGTGAAAAATAATTAAATAATTAATTTTCTCAAATATTTGGGAGATATATTTATTGTAATCATTAATCTAAAACGACATAGTTTTTATAATTTATATATATATATATATATATATATATATATATATATATATATATATATATATATATATATATATATATATATATATATATATATATATATATAGTAATTTTAAAAACTAATATTTTAACAATAAAAAAATTAAAATTCAAACCCAAAATCTCTAATTCATAGCTAGCTTGTTCATGCATTTTACCATGTTCTTGATTGCATGTGTATGGCGTAGGTATGATGACATTTGACAATAAATGGCAAAAAGACCAACACTTAGTGTTTCTTATGGTCCCCAACATATATAGTGTGTTTTAAGTAACTCGATTTTGTTTCTATTTCAGGCCAGGCAGTTCTTGATATATAGTCAAAGCTGTATATATAGATTTGATAAAGAAGGAAATAAGTAGAAAAAGTGAGGAGTTGGGACTAAAGAAACTAGAAAATTTAGGCTTGTGATGAGGCAGTCAAAGACGCACAAAATATGTGCCAATCACTTAGGTGAGTTTCTCTCTTCCCCTACTTCTATCACCTTTTAAGTGTCTTTCATTATATTTCTCTGTTAGCTAATATACTGATGTCTTTGATTTGATTTAATTTAACTTTGTTGTAGTTCTTCCTACATTATCAATGCAAGAACATGCGGGGAATGAAAATTCTTGGGTTTGGCATACTGCTGATTTTGCTAATGGGTAGCAAAAGGAGGAGACGTTTTGCATTAGATTTGCTTTTGTTGAGAGTAAGTGCCACTTTTCTTGCATTGTGGTTACATATGGATACTTCAAACTCTTGTTTTTTGGTATTCAAATTATTGCTTGAACATTTATGTTTCATTGCTACTGTGGTTTCTCAAGCACTTTTAGTTCTATATATTTGACGCATCATCTGTTCGCTGAGATATATAAATGCAGTTTATTAATGCCAAAATCACAGAGAATATGAGATTCTTCTCTTCCTAATGAGAAGAATGAAATGTCTTACGATAATGAAATCGTTTTTGAAGTGTTGCCTATACAACACTTTTGGTCATATGGTAGTAGATAATATATGCTTGTAATAATGGTCAGATTGCTAACTAGATTGCTAAGAACTTTGACTAACATATTATTGGTGAATTGTCATTTATTTTTATTTTTTCTTTGTATTGCAGAATCCATTATCTAAGGAGCTCTTTCTTGAGAAATATGGTGATATAACACATCTTTATATGCCAAAGGTTTATACCTTTTGCTCTCCTTTTTTGCCGTCATGCCACCACATAACAAGCCTGGTACTTCATTGCTTCTTATGCAGCAAAGATTAGATGCTCGTGAGAGTTAGTACTTCATGATCACCCTCGTCGCAATCGGGTTGAACTTGATATTGATTATTTTTTTTATGGATTATTATATTGTTGTTTAGACATGAATTTTGTATTAAGTATAACCTTAAGTTTTTTGAACTATAAAGTAATATTACTTTTATAATACAAATTATATTGTATTTTAGTTTTAATAGTATTTTTGCTTATAAATATAATTGCATATTAACATTAGAATTTTAACAAAATAATAATAATAATTACTCAAATAATAAAAAATAATTATTTAGCATAATCGTGATGGAAATTTGTTTTGTCGTGTTCTTATGATGGAATTTTGTGATGGAAGATGAAATTTGTAATGAAAAGGTTAGCAACAGAATCGCAACGATAATTTGTTTTGTCGTTTTCTAACAACGAAATTTTGTGACGGAATACTAAATTTGCAACAGAAAGGTTAGCGACGGAATTGCGATGACAATTATTTCCGTCGTTATATTTCAAGACGGCAATAGGCGACTGAATATGAGTTTCGTGACGGAATATTTTTTCACGTGGTGGTGACGGAAGGAAACATTTCCGTTGTCAAAACAGCGACGAACTCACGACGGAAAGATTTTCGTCGCCAACTTTGCGACGAAAAATTCCGTTGTCATTTTCCGTCGCCACCGCTGGCAACGGACTATTTTCGTCGCGAAATGAAATACGATAAGCCTGTAGGCTACGGAATGAATTCCGTCGCAAAAATGAAAAATTCCATCGCAAAACATGATTTGCGACGGAATTTTGGGCTTTCGTGACGGAAATTTTCCGTCGCGAATCGCAATTTTTCTTGTAGTGCAAACATCAATATTG